CCTGGATGAGCCCCGGTGGGAGGAGAGCGCAGCCAGCGGGATGGGACCCCGACTCCTGGGTCTGCGCTCTGGCTCGGCCACAGTGAGCTGTGACACTGGGCAAGGGGAGGGGGTACCTGCCCCAGCCCCTGCCCCGCCTGCCAAGGGCGTCAGCCATCTCCCTGGACAGATGGAGACCCCACCTGCAAGTAGGTGGGCAATGTCATTGTGGCCATTGTGTACCCCCCTCCCCATGGTGAGGCTGGGACACAGGGCCGCACCCCCACCGGCCGCTCACCTCCTGCCTCTTGCGCTCCTCGGCTGGCAGCGTGTCCAGGATGCCCAGCTCCACCACCTGCGGGCACAGGCCTGGGGTCAGGGGTCACGTGTCCTGAGTCCTCCCTGCCGGGCCGGGGCCACCGTGGATGGCAGAGAGGCCTGGAGAGGGCGGAGCCAGGCTGGCAGGGTGTGGGGGGGGAGCCCCCCCTCCAGGCTCAGTGCAGTGGGACCGCCGAGCTGGCCCGTCCCGGCCTGATCCTGTCCCTGCGTCTCTCCTCTCCATGGACACGTGCCCTGAGTGGGCCCTGCACCCCCTGGGGCGCGAGGGGGGAGGAGGGGGGTCCAGAGAGAAAGGCCTGGAGGCACCCGAGCAGGGGAGGGGTGGAGAGGGCAGGGCCACCTGGGAAAGCTGGGGGTGCCTGGGCCAGGTGAGCCAGCGCCCTGCCCAGGAGGTTGGGGGTGGCCCTGCTCCAGCGGGCGCCCGCCCAGCTCCCTGCCGTCGGGGCCGTGGCCTCCATGCTGCCCTGGTGGCGTGTGGCTCTCAGCCATGGCACGCCCGTTGGAACAGGCTGGGCTGTGCCTCTGCCTGAGGGCACCCCGTCTGTAGGACCCAGAGCCACCCCGTTCCTGCTCCCTCCTCCCTGGGCTGCGCACAGGCCGTGTCCTAGGCCTATGGGGTGGGGGGGGCAAACCCGTGCCTCTTCCTCTAGCCCAGGCTGGGCCGAGACCTAGCTCAGGGGGTGGGGGTCAGAAACCCTGACCCCCTGTGGAGGCTGCAGCATCTGAACACCACCAGACCCGGGGTGACATGCCCGGGACTCCTGGCACGCAGCTGGTGCCCGGCAGGTGGGGACAGATTTCCCACTTCCCATCCGCCTACCCTCAGCCCACCTGGGCTCTCCCAGCCGGGGTCCCACAGCCTCAGCTCTCGTCCCCCTTCGGGTGCAAGCAAAGAACCCATGTACCGCAGACAAAGGACCGAGTACCCACCCCACTGCCCACTGCGCCCACGGCTGCCGCCCAGCTCCCACCCTGGGCTCCCAGGGACGGGTCAGGAGTCTGCCCGGAGCCGACTGGGCCTGGGGGTGACAGCCGCTCCCCGGCACGTGGTCAGAGTCGCCCCCATCCATCCCTACAGCTGGAGTGGGGACGGCTTGGCCGTGGCATGGGGCTCTGTGGGAGCCAAGGCCTGGCCCCCCGCCCCATCCCCTCCTGCCTCCTCAGGGGACCTCCTGGCACTTTCCTGGGGGCAGGGCCCTGGCAGGAGGGGCCCTTGGTACCCACAACTCCCCGAAGGCCAGTCTGAGCAGGAGGCAGAGAGCACGGGGCTCACCTGGGGACGCCCATCACCTACCTGGGTGGCACCTGCCCCAACTCCCCCGCCCCTGCCCCGCCTGAGACCACCAGGTGCCGCGCACGGCGGGCTGCTCTGAGGGCACGGGGGGCAGCTCTCCTGGGGCTGGGTGGGCGCCTGGGGAGGCCCCGGGACTGACCGCCCACGGTGGGGAAGGGCGCCCCCAGCAGTCGGCCTACCTCGGGGAGCTGGCTCCAGGTGACCTGGGGGGCCCGGAAGTTCTTGACCACGATGGGGGTGCCCACCGTCCGCGCTCCCTCGGGGCTGCCCGGCTCGTCCAGCAGGTCGTCGTCGGACTCCTGGCTGGTGGTCAGGCCCCGCTCTCGGATCTCCTGATAGAACCGGGGGTCTGGGGAGAGGGGGCGCATCACGCGGGGGACCGGGGGCTGGGAGCGGGCCTGGTCCCCCCAGAACCCACAGGCCGAGTCCCGAGGAGCCTCTGAGAACATCAGCGCCTGGAGCAGGCTCCCCTGGGCCGCTGGCGCTGTGGCTGCTCTGGGCGGCCAGGCAGGGTGGTGCCCGGTGCGGAATGTGGCACCTTCAGGCCACGGAGCTGACAAACCAGAGCACAGGCGGGGGGGGGCCTGCAGAGGCCTGGAGGGGGGGGCTGTCCCAGAGCCCCGAGACCAGGGCTGTGTCCTGCTCCCACACTGAGGCCCCGGAACGGCCCGGTCCACCGCTCAGGGCACTGAGCGCCCCGCGCACCCCTTCCACGCACCCCCTCCACGTCTCCCCTCCATGCCTCGCTCTGGGGCCTGGGGCAGGAGCCGGGTCCTGACGCCTCCCTCGCCCCCTCCAGCCGGTGTCCGCCCACAGAGGTCAGGGCTGGCAGGGAGGGCGGACCCATCCTGGCGGGGCCCGTGTCCTCAGAAGCCGACGCCTGGCTTCCAGCCTGGCACCCAGGCCCAAGCCCTTCCGGCCTCACTGGCCCACCCCTCCTGCCCAGCGGGTGCTCCATCCTGGCTGGGCAGGCACTTCCTCTCCCCTTCCCCATGGGGCCCTGTTGGCACCCACCCCTCAGCAGGCTGATGGCACTGCTCTGGGCCCCCCGAAGGTGCAGCTGCTGCCCATGCCCTCCAAGCCTCACCCCACAGGCTCCCTGTGCCCCAAGACGACCCCAACAGAGCCCAGCAGGCGTGTCCTCCCCGTAGGGCCTTGGTCCCCCATGTGGCTACCATGTGCCCCCTACACACACGAGGTGCTGGACAATTGTCGCCTGGGGTGATTGTGGGGCTCTATCTCCTGCGCCTGGGTGGTGCAGAAGGGAGTCCATGGGAAACTTCTAGGCCAGTGATGGCGAACCTATGACATGCGTGTCAGAGGTGACACGCAAACTCATTTTCTTGGTTGATTTTTCTTTGTTAAATGGCATTTAAATACATAAAATAAATATCAAAAATAGAAGCCTTTGTCTTACTATGGTTGCAAATATCAAAAAATGTCTCTATGTGACACGGCACCAGAGTTAAGTTAGGGTTTTTCAAAATGCGGACACGCCGAGCTCAAAAGGTTCGCCATCACTGTTCTAGGCCTTTCTAGATCCATCAGCGCTACATGGCCAGATGGCCACCAGGACCTCTGGTCCCCGGAGGAATCCCTGCAGTGCGTGCTCTGTGCCACCACACCCAGCCCCCCTGCCCCTGCCCCTCCCCCAGCGAGACCAGTCTCATCTGGTCCGGCCCAGCCCACGGCCACCTCCCTAGGCCACACTCACCATCCTTGAAGGAGCCCTTGTGCGCACGCTTCCGCCCCAGCGTCTTCTGTGCAAACAAGACAGAAACACCAGTGGTCAGCAGGGAGGAGGGGCAGGTGTGGGCCTAGCGCGGCTCCTCCACCCGGGCTCAGGCCGCATGGCTCTGTGCGCGACACCAGGCCCGGCAGGAGGGGGCTCTGCTGAGACACAGAAGCCGCTCAGTAGATGCTGCTCCCGAGGGAGGCGGGCCGCCAAGAGGAGGCCAGGGCAGGGGGGTGCCTCCAGAGCAGTCAGGGCAGGTGACTGAAATCTGGGCAGATCTAGGAGGGCTGCCTGGAGGTGGAGGCAGGACTGAACTCGTTAAGAGGGGTGCTCAGGAAAGTGGGGTGTTCCCACTTGGGGAAGCCCGAGGTAGGACAGGTGTGGTTAGGAGGCCAAGAGGGACATGGGGGGGAGTGGAGGCTGCACGCAGGACCCCACGGAGGGGGTGGCCTGAGGCGGCAGGAAGAAGAGGGTGAGCGTCCGGCCCCACACCCTGGAGGCCCGGCAGCTGATGCAGGGCTGCAGGGGTGAGCGGGGACCACGCCCTGGCCCACCAGCTGCTGCTCAGAGCCTGCCTTCTTGGCCGGATACACCACTGTCCCCCGACCTCACAGGTGCCGGTTCCAGGAGTGTGGGAGCTGGTTTCTCCTGGCGAGTTGGGGCCTGAATCTCCCCGTGCTGGTCTGGAATGTGTGGCGCTGCCAGCTGCACCTGGCCCTGCTGCCCTCCCCCCCTCCACCCTGTGTCCCCCAGTGCCCTCACCCCTCCTACCTCCAGGTCTGGGCACAGGCTGCTGCCTCGGCCCCTCCTCCACCTGGCACCCGCCTTTTGTCCCTGCTTCTGCTCTAACCCTCCCCTTCTGAACCCCCAGGCCCTGTGCTCCCGGGAAGCCCCTGCTCTGTGCTCCCCGGTTCCCTGAGCATGCCCACTGCCCGGGAGCTCCTGGGCCTGACTGCTGGGACCCCCTCGCCCCCTGCCCAGAACCTGTGAACCAACAGAAGGAAGGAATGGGCCCCGCAGGCCTGGCCCTGACGGGGTGGATGCTGAGGCCCTGAGGCAGTCCTGGGGCCCCGGCTTCTCAGGGAGGCATGGCAGTGGGCAGCGTCCACCCCCCAGGCCTGGGACATGGCAGTGAGCAGCGTCCACCCCCCAGGCCTGGGACATGGCAGTGAGCAGCGTCCACCTTCCAGGCCTGAGGCATGGCAGTGAGCAGCATCCACCTTCCAGGCCTGGGCATGGCAGTGGGCAGCGTCCACCCCCCAGCCTGGGGCATGGCAGTGGGCAGCGTCCACCCCCCAGGCCTCGGACATGGCAGTGAGCAGCGTCCACCTTCCAGGCCTGGGGCATGGCAGTGAGAAGCATCCACCTTCCAGGCCTGGGGCATGGCAGTGGGCAGCGTCCACCCTCCAGCCTGGGGCATGGCAGTGGGCAGCTTCCACCCCCCGGCCTGGGGCATGGCAGTGGGCAGCGTCCACCCCCCAGGCCTGGGGCATGGCAGTGGGCAGCATCTTTCGTACACATGAATTTCAAGCAAAAAGAAACAGAATACAAAACGGGGAACAAAGATACACTCAAATCATGTTCAAACAGCTCTGAAATGACGATTTTACTGTTTACCTTTTTAGTTCAACTCCATCTCTAGGCGTTTTAAGGAATATACTTAAAAAATGAGAATACAAGTTACCACCCCCGGCCGGGGCATCTTTAAACTCAGGACAGTGGCTATGGCCTCCTCGCCTGGCCCACTGCACCCTGGGGGCCTGTCTTCCCACAGTCTGGGCAGGAGCCCTAAGCTGGGGAGGCCGTCAGATGGCAGCCACGGGCACCGAGGCCCCGGGTGAGGTGCCCGTCCTGCTGGCCCGGGGCCTGTCCCGTGCTTCCCGGAAGGCAGAGGCCACAGGGCTGCTGGGCAGGAAAGGGGGCTGCGTGTGCCGAGGGCGTCAGTCTGCTCCTGAGCCGGAGGCAGCCAGAGCTGCCAC